TCACACAAAAAATTCATATATTTTTCATACATTTGTGTCAATAATTGAAATCTCAATAAATCTGTTAATAAACACATGTTTTCAGTCTTTAATTCATTGATCTTTGAATACAATTGTCTTCGACTTAAACCACGAAAATCACCACAAATTGATCCCATGTTTAGTCAATACAAACCTCATTGAGAATAAACACAACAATAATAGACATCATTGATCTCCACGTGTAGTCAATGTGTTCATAGAATACGTTCACAAATGCAACAAACTTAAAAGAATTAAATGTAAGTTATATTATGTAACTAAAAATGATGTATAGATTCTAGATTATTTGTTTAATTATAAAATGCAACATTATTTAAATAGACTAGGTTGAATACACAAACACTTGATCATACAAATTTACGTATGAAATGTCTGATTAATACAATCGATGGTATAATCAGTTATTCAGATATTGTTAACATAAAAATATGTAATTGTATAGAAAATCAAGTGTTATTTAAGAATTTATTTGTACATAATTATTATGTAATGTAATATAATTTTGTACTTTTACATACAGTAACTTATTGCAATCTATTGATTTTATATTGTTTCATAAAAGTAGCGCATACGCAATATTATGACTATGGATAAGAACATTTTGCTTATCACTTATGGTGATATAAGTTATGCCCTTGATCAGTTCGTTTTATAGTACATTTTTCACAGTTTATATGGTTTGAAATATTTATAATAAAATAGTTTAAGTTAAATAGTTATACAGTACAGTAAGTGCATGTAACGTTTAATATAAATTACAATCAAATAATGCCTACTATAAGTGATTTTACGGGGAAAGTAGTGCTGATCACCGGTTCGAGTAGTGGTATCGGAGCCACGACTGCCATTGAGTTCTCGCGATCGAGTGCTCAGGTAGTGACCACCGGACGAAAGGCAGAGAATGTAACACAAGTGGCCAATAAGTGCCATAAAGTCTCACCAAAAGGTCTGAAAGCACTGGAAGTGGTGGCGGATGTGACCAAAGAAGACGACTGCCGACGTCTGGTCGACACCACAATCAAGTCTTTTGGAAAGTTGGATATTTTGGTAAATAATGCGGGAAAAGGATCCCATAATTCGCTATACGATAGTCATCTGATGGACTCTTACGACGAAGTGATGGCCACTAACTTGAGATCAGTTGTCTATTTGACACATCTCTGTGCACCACATCTGGAGAAAACTCGGGGTAATATTGTTAACATCTCAAGTGTTGTGGGTCTTAAACCGGTAAATTTCCAAAATGATTAAACATTACTAAATGGCATAGCTTTGGGTCGATCTCGTGAACAATACGATGAGTTCTTGGATGAAAGGGCGAAGTCATTGCCGTTGGGACGAGTGGGCGATCCCATAGACATCGCCAACGCTGTGCTATTCCTGGCGTCAGACGAGTCGTCGTTTGTCACCGGAGCTAATCTACTGTCCGACGGCGGGTCTCTTAACGCCTGATAACGTGATAATTACAACATTTTAAAACAATTGTTAAATTAAATAATTTGTTTTTTAAATTTATTAAATGAATTTATTATGTATATTTTACGGTACAAAACAGTACAGTTGTACATGTGATTTTACTACAGCATTCGCCAACGCTGTGCTATTCCTGGCGTCAGACGAGTCGTCGTTTGTCACCGGATCTAACATTCTGTCAGACGGCGGGTCTCTTAACGCCTGATAACGTTATAATTACAACATTTTAAAACAATTGTTATATTAAATAATTTGTTTTTTAATTTATGAAATGAGTTTATTATATAATTTCTTAACGTCTACTGATGTCAATAAATTTGAGAAATAATATACCAATGAGTGAAATAATCTAAATTATGATAGAATTACAAAATTAATATTTTGGTTAAATATTTGAATAAACAAAATGCTTTAAATTCATTTTATACTTCATATCCGCTAAACGTATTAATAATAAATAATTTACAACAAGAAAAACTGACCCGTTTTTGGCCAATCCTTTCAATTACATTTAATACCTATTATATACACAAACAAATATAGATAATTAATTATTAAAGTTAATTATTAAGTTATTTAAACAAAAAATGTTATAAATATGATACCTTTAAACGCAAGAGAATATTCTAAATTAATTAAAAATTCACATAAAATCAATGATGAACAAAACGTACAGTGTTCTTAAATATACATTTGAAACATGTAAAATTGTATCTTTATTCTCTCTCTCTCTCTCTCTCTCTCTCTTTAATAAAAATATTTAACAAAAAACTGTAACAAAATAATTGCTATGAAATTGAGAGCAGAAATAATTTTTAGTAAAAAAAGTTTGCATAGATTTAAGACTAGATTTAAGTTTAAATTATAAGAGTGTGTAAAACAGC